ACAGAACTGAGGGTCTTCTCCGCCCTATCTCTATACATTACCATTGTTTGACTGCGTTCACTGTGTAGTGATAAAGAACCAGAACCTCAATGATACCTTCCCTTCAACCTCGATTCCAACCAACAGGTACCTTGAGGGCAGTTGCTAGACTGGGTGAGATCAATTGGTCTTGGAATCGGGGATCTACCCAATCTGTAAAGCTCTCTGCGTTGTTGAAAAAAAAGTCAGAAAACTCACAAAACCAGGTTATAGTCCAACAGATTTATTTGAAAACACAAGCTTTTGGAGCCTCGATCCTCCTTCAGGCTCCGAAAGCTTGTGTTTTCAAATAAACCTTTTGGACTATAACCTGTTGTTGTGTGATTTGTAACTTTGTCCACCCCAGTCCAACACCGGCACCTCCACATCATTGCTGTAAAAACAGATACATTTTGTCTAAACTTTTCACCTTTATCTCAACGGGACAATTTGCAAGAATACTAATTCAAACGGAAAATCCAATGATTATTCCATGTGAGAGTCGAGCACCGATGTGTTGGGAAATAGACTAATTAGTATGGACATTGGCATGGAGAATGCACCAGTTAATAATGGCTGGCAGTTAACTGCTAAGCTTTATTTACATTTTAAACTTGGCAGATTGACATTGATTGATCAAGGCATTGTCAATCTGCCTTTGAAAACTTTAAGTTTAAAATTTCAAAATGTTATTAAGCAACCCCACAGCAATCTCCTTTCATACAGTTTTCCCCTTACATTGGTATTCCTTCACCCTCACCCCTTATCCTGTAAAATATTTCTCTTCAGGGGTTTATCCATTCCCTCTGGATTAAGGAAATATTTTTCAGGATGGCAACACGTAACTAGTGGAGTGCAGCAGGGATCAGTGCTGGGACCACAATTATTTACAATATATATTACTGACTTGGACGAGGAAAGTGATGGAGATGACATAAAAAAGACTGCAGAGGGATATAGACTTATTAAATAAGTGGGCAAAACTTGGCAGATGGTATATAATGTGGGAAAATGTGAGTTTATGCACTTTAACAGGAAGAATTGGGGAGCTGAATATTATTTAAATGCAGAAACACTGCAGAAAGTTACAAAACAGAAGAATTTGGAAGTCCTCTTGCATGGATCATGAAAAACTAGCTGCCAAGTTCAGCATATGGTAGGGGAGGCAAAGGGAATGGAATATAAAAGTTGGGAGGTTTTGCTAAAACTGTGCAAGGCACTAGTCAGATCACAGCTGGAATGCTGTGAACAGTTTTAGTTCCCTTAATCAAGGAAAGGTAGACTAGCATTGGAGGCATTCCAGAGAAGGTTCACAAGGCTGATCCAGGTATAAAGGGACAGTCTTATAAGGAGACGTTGAGTAAGTTGTGCCTGTACTCAATGTAATTTAGAAGAATGAGAGGTGACTTTATTGAAACATACAAGATTCTTTGAAGACTTGGCAGGGTAAATGCAGAAAGGTTGATTCCCCTTGTGACAGAGTCTAGGACCAGAGGGCATAATCTCAGAATAAGGAGTTGTACATTTAAAACAGAGATGAGAAGGAATTACTTCTCTCATCGGGTAATGAATCTATAGAATTCTTTACTGCAAAGGGCTGTTGAGGCTGGGTCACTAAATATATTCAAGACTGAGATAGACGTATCTTTAATCAGTAAGGGAAGTGAGGGTTGTGGGGTAATGGCAAGAAAGTGAAGTTGGGGGTTGGCAGATCAGCCATAATCATATTAAATGGCAGAACAGAATTGATGGGCTGAATGGCCCACTTCTACTCCTACATCCTACAGTTTCATGGTCTTAAAGCCTCAATTGAACTTGGCTCCACCGCACTGTCAGCCAGTGCATTCTACACCCTAACCACTCGCTGCATGGAAAAGTGTTTCTTCATGTTGCCTCTGGTTCTTTTACTAATGATCTCTGACTCTTGACTGTTCTTCCATTGAGAACAGCCTCTTCCTGTCCACTCTGGCCAGACCCCCTCCTAAATTTGAACACCACTACCAAATCTTCACTCACCCTCCTCTTATCCAAAGAAAACAGTCCCAACTTCTGCAGTTTATCGATGTGACTGAAGTTTCTCATTCCTTGAATCAGCTTGGGCTGAAAAGTGGCAAGTAACATTCATGCCACATGTGACTGTCTGTGTGGAGTTTGCACATTCTCCCTGTGTCTGCGTGGGTTTGTTCCGGGTGCTCCATTTTCCTCCCACAGTCCAAAGATGTGCAGGTTAGGGTGGATTGGCCGTGCTAAACTTCCCATAGTGTCCAGGGATGTATAGGTTAGGTGGATTGGCCATGGGAAATGTAGGGTTACACAAATAGGGTAGGAGGGTGAGTCAGGGTGGGATGCTTTTTGGAGTGTTGCTCTGGACTTGTTGGGCCAAATGGCCTGTTTCTACACTGTATGATGAAGTCAGGAGTGTGATGAAACATGCCTCATTTGCCTAGATGGGTGCAGCTCCAATAACATTCAGGAAGCTTGGCACCAGCTGGAATAAAGCAGCCCGCTTGATTGGCAGTACATCCACAAACAACCACCCCCTCCATCACCGACACTCAGTAGCGGCAGTGTGTACTATCCACAAGGTGCACTGCAGAAATTTACCAGAGATCCTTAGACAGCACCTTTCAAACCCACAACCACTACCATCTAGAAGCTCATAGAAACACTACCACCGGTACATTCCCCTCCAAGTCTGACTTGGAAATAAATCACCTTTCCTTAAGTGCTGCTGGGTCAAAATCCTGGAACTCATTCTCTGACAGCATTGTGAGTGTCCCTAAGCACGTGGATTACAGTTGTTCAAGAAGGCAGCTCACTACCACCTTCTTGAGGGTAAATGGGGATGGACAACACATGCTGGTCCAGCCAGTAATGCCCACTTCCAACGAATGAATAAAAAGAAGAAAATTCTCATGAACACAACTGTGTTTAAAGCCTTCAAATCTGACTGAAAAAATATTGTCAAGGGTTGGACAGAATCCTTCAGTTAAGGCCAGGCCAGTGTATTGTATTTAATTATTCTGTAAATTTTATAAGTTTAGCTTTTATCCATTGGTGTTCCAGACTCCTTTCGTTCCTGAATTGAATCAAGCTGACACGAGCACTGCAAGCCGCAAGTAAACCGCTGATGGCATGTCAGAGACTCAGAGAGAATCTCAGCTTTCAGTCTGTTACAATTGCATTCTGTCCCATGGGCTCTCAGGGCAGATGAGCTAGGCTTTCTCCTCTGCCTGCACCTGTGCTTCAGAAACAGCAGCCTCTGCTCCCCTGCCATGGGTTTGCCTCACCCCACTGTATTGACCATCCTCAGAAAGCAGAATGGTGCATTGGATATCCAGCACCATCATGTCCTGTCTCACTATCTTGGCATGTGGTCACACCTTCTAAAGCAAATGGTGATCAGACACAGTCCATGCCCAACTGTATTTTGGGAACAGAAGTTACCTACAACTTCTATCTCCACCAGGATCTTCTAACTCAGCGCAGAATGCAACACAGGCGTAAAGAGGATGTCATTCAGCTCCTCGACCCTGCTTTGTCTACCATTCACTCAGATCATGAACAACACATACTCAACTCCATTTACCCAATGTTGACACCCTGACACAGCAAAACTCCTTCAATTTCAATCTTGAAACTTCTTACTGACCCTTGCAGCATGCACAGATATTTGGGGAGAGAGTTCCATATTTTGCTTTTGTGTGTTTCCTGACATCACTCCTGAATGCTCCGATTATAATTTATTTCCCCTCGTTCTCAACTGCCTCCCCCCCCGCAACCAGCTCCACCAGATCAAATGGTGTCACTGGATCCACTCCATTGCATCCTTTTAGCATTTTGAACACTTTGATCAGATCACTCCTCCAATGTTATAAATTAAAGGGAATACAAGCCTAGACTATACGCCCTGTCCCTGTAGTTTAACCCTTTCAGTCTCTGTTTCATTCCGGCAAATCCCCTTCCAAAGCCAACATACCTTCAAATCTATTTTAATTGGGCACCATTGTTTATCTACCAGATAATCCCACTGATGAGGCTCCCAACTGAGTGTAAGGGGGAAAGCACCAACAGACAGACCCAAGAAGCACTGTTTGTCATCACTATGGTTACACCTGCCAAGTTCCATTTCCACATGGAGTCTTCCTAAGCAATGAGTGGAGTGGCCAATCCAGTTGTCCCTACTCTGGGCACTCTGATCACCCACAACACGCTAATAGTGAAGTGTCTCATGATGGGTAAAGGTCACTGAGGGGGCTATTCAAACAGCTTGAGTTTTGTGTAAAGTCGTCTTCATCCCACTCTACCAGCACCTTGATATTACTCAATAACTTGAACTAATCCAACAGGCAGTGCTGGCACTGCTTGGAACATGCTAAACAAAGCCAACCTAACCATGCCAATTTATTCCCTCACACCCCAAGCGAACCTCTTGTGTCCAAAATGTTTTAATACCTTCTGTTTGTGTGTTTGGACCTGCACAGGGGACACAGGATGACATTATGCTGGGAGCTGGGCTCATACTATGTCTCCCCTTGTTTAACCAACACCCAGTCCCTCAAGCAAATTGGAATAATTCCTGAGATCCTCAATGTTTCCTAGAGTAAAAAATACTAACCAGCGTGACTTCTTATTTACATGCACCTGCTGCACAGAAAAACAATTTTGGAAAGTTCACATCTCATGCTAGCTGCTTGACTGATTGTATATCATTTCATTCAAAACAATTGATTAAAGATCCCCTTCCACAATCACGAGCTCCCTCCCTTCAGGCTCAGGATGTAGGGAACTGAACTGGATTTGAATCTGGAATAGGAGACCTCTAAGGTCTTCTAAGGTAGCTTTTTCAGTTAGCTTGGAACCTTTTGCAATAATGCAGATCGAGTACTACTGCATTTACAGTCTTTGAGGAATTGATGCAGCTCTCTTCAAGCAGTAAGAAAGGGCTGTCATCCACACAGTCATCACAGACTCCCACTTACCTAAGGAATTTGATGGGCTCAGTCGCTGCTGCCTGCTGTACAGCACCGTGGTTTGTGTTGGCCATGTCTTAGTGTAGTGGTCGCTGTTCTTGTGTGTGGAGGGATGGGCAGGTTCTGCTGGGTCCTGATGCTGACGCTATGAGCTGTTATCAGACTCTGTGCCTTCAGTAATACAGTGATTAGTGATTCAGTTTTCTGCCTCATTGGTTGGCAGACCAGCCAATCAGAAGCAGACCGGTTTCAGGGGATTGGCAAGAGATTGGCCTGAAGCATAAACACAGCAGTATTTACTGGTGTGTATATGCGTGTGTGTATGAGCATTTATGAGTGTTGTATGCTTGTATATGTGTGTGAGTGTGTGTATGTCAGTGTGTATCTGTGTGTGCATGTGATTGTGAGTGTGTGCATGTCAGTGTATGTGAATGTATGTGAGTGTTGTATGTGAGTATCTGTGAGAGATTGTGTGTATGTCTGCAGGTACAGGTATTTCAGTGTGTGTCTGAGTATGTACATTGAGTATGAGTATGTCTGAATGTGCTTTTAAAAATTTTTTTCATGGGATGTCAGTGTTACAGGCAAGGCCAGTATTTATTGCCCATCCCTAATTGCCCTGAAAATGCAAAGCTTGGTGGTTCATTTCACAGGCAGTTAAAAGTCAACCATGTTGCTGTAGGTCCAGAATCAGATATTGGCCAGACCAGGAAAAGACGGCAGATTTCCTTCCCCAAAGGGCATAAGAGAAGTAGATGGGTCATAACAAAAATCAGCAGTGTTTACACAATTGCTATTAGGCTATCTTTTAATTCCATTTATTTTAATTGAATTCAAATATCGCCTTAGAACTCATATCCCCAGAACATCAGCCTGGAGTTCTGGATTATTATGTGTGTATGTGAATATGTATATGTGAGTCTGTATGTGTATGTGACTGTGTATATTTGCTTATGTATATGTCTGTGTATGTGAATGTGTATATGTCAATGTGTGCACATCTGTGTTTATGTGAATGTGTACATGTTGAGTGTGTGCATGCATGCATACATATGTTGTTTTTATTCATTCACAGGATGAGGGCATCGCTGGCGAGGCTGGTATTTATTGCCCATCCCTAATTACCCAGAGGGCAGTTAAGAGTTAACCACATTGCTGTGGGTCTGGAGTCACATGTAGTCCAGACCAGGTAAGGAAGACAGTTTCCTTCCCTAAAGGGCATTAGTAACCAGATGGGTTTCTCACCAACAATTGATTCACGGTCATCATTAGATTCTTAATTCCAGATATTTATTGAATTCAAATTCCACCATTTGCCATGGCGGGATTCGAACCCTGGAACATTATCTGGGTCTCTGGATTAACAGTCCAGCGATAATACCACGAGGCCACTACCTGCCCTGATATACACATATGTATATTTGAGTGTTTATATAACGGTGTGTATATGAGTGTGTATATGCATGTCTGTGTGTATGAGGGAGAGTATATGTGAGTGTTCGAGTGTGAGCACGTATGCCTGTCTAATTATGTTTGTGTACATCTGTGAGGCTTCTGATAACCTAACAGCCAGGAGAGTTTAATTGGGTGAATTCTGTGAGAAATCTGGCATCTGCTGTTTTAAAAAAAAGCCATTTGTATACAATCAAGACAACATGATGAAGACCAAAGGTCAGAGTGCAGGGTACTGCCAAACATGAGGAATAAGAAGGAAAATGCAGATTAGGAATGAATGATGCATTAACATCATGCTGGGATTTTAGACTTTCATAGGTTCTGAACGAGGAAAGAGTAGGGGAACTGAGAGAAACGCTGTGGTCTTGTGAAGGAGTAAATTAGACTAGAGACGATTCCATCATTACAATTTTAACCTATTAGAAAGGGAGGGAGAGTACGGATTGTCGTGAAATCTCTAGGAATGTAAAGAGTAATCTCCTGGACACTGCTACCCAGGACCAAAACCGTAAGAAGACTAGACAAGACATACTTTCATCATCTCTGAGACAACAAGGTGCAGGGCTGGATGAACACAGCAGGCCAAGCAGCATCATAGGAGCAGAGAGGCTGACGTTTCGGGCCTAGACCCTTCATCAGAAAAGGGGGAGGGGAAGGGGGTTTTTTAAAATAAATAGGGAGAGAGTGGGAGGCGGATAGAAGAGGGATAGAGGAGAGGATAGGTGGAGAGGAAACAAACAGGTCGAAGAAGTGGGGATGGAGCCAGGAAAGGTGAGTGTAGGTAGGGAGTTAGGAAGGGGATAGGTCAGTCCAGGGAGGACGGACAGGTCAAGGGGGCGGGATGAGGTTGGTCGGTAGGAGATGGAGGTGCGGCTTGAGGTGGGAGGAGGGGATAGGTGGGAGGAAGAACAGGTTAGGGAGGCAGGGACGAGCTGGACTGGTTTTGGGATGCGGTGGGGGGAGGGGAGATTTTGAAACTTGTGAAATCCACATTGACATCATCTCTGTTTGTTCGGAATCAAAAATATTTGAGAAAGATGAAATGAAGGAAGTTTGACCAGATGGGATTGTTGAAGAGGTGAGGACCAACGATGAAATTTCCAGGAATGCATCCAAACAAAATCGGTAACCAAAGGACAGGATAGGGAGAATGATTTGCTGAGGATTGAGAGGCAGGAGCCTGAGAGATGTGAACAAAATATTTGAGCTGAGATGCTCAGTTAGGGCTCTCCTTTCACTCAAACCCAGGTTCAAATCCCGCCACAGCAGATGGTGGAATTTGAATGCAATAAATATCTGGAATTAAGAGTTTAATGATTACTACGAATCCATTGTTGATTGTTGGAAAAACCCATCTGGTTCGCTGATGTCCTTTAGGTTAGGAAACTGCCACCCTTACCTGGTCTGGCCTACATGTGACTCCAGACCCACAACAATGTGGTTGACTCTTAACTGCCCTCTGGGCAATTAGCGACGGGCAATAAATGCTGCCTAGCCACGACCCCCTCATCCTGTGAATGAATAAAAGTAAAAAATCCTTTCGAAGTGATTGAAACATGTTTCAGCACCATGTAAGGAGTGTGTTTTATGATTCAACTTACCTTTAGGTTGGCTCATTTTCAATTCTCTCCCTTCCTCTCCTGAAGATTGAGGTTCACAGGGTCTATTCACAGACATCATTCCCCAATATTCAGACCAGACAATCAGAGTTGGTAAACAATTCGCCCTTGTGTAGTATCATAGTTGTCTTCAAACTAATCAAAAAGGCTACACCAAAGGCCAGAATTTAATGAAGGAGAGAGAACCCAGAGGGTGGAGGAGATAACTGTGATGGGGAGGGGTTTGAAAAGAGCATTGCTACACTAGGAACCAGTGCATGTCGGTGAACACATGGGCAATGGCACAGGCTTTCTGTGAGTAACGGTCCAGGCATCAGTGTTTCAGAACAGCTTAAATTTGAAGACTCAAACCTAGTACAGTTTTTAATGAGATCAGTGTGGAGACAGTTTTACTCTGTATCTAACCCATACTGTCCCTGTCCTGAGAATGTTTGATGGAGGATAGTGTAGAGTAAGCTTTACTCTGTATCTAACTTAATGCTGTCCCTGTCCTAAGAGTGTTTGATGGGGACAGTGTAGAGAGAGTTTTACTCTGTATCTAACCCCGTGCTGTGCCTGTCCAGGGAGAAAGCTTTCAATTCATTTTAGAGGATGATTTTCGCAGTAAGTCAAAAATCACAGCCAACTGGACTGTGAATGGCTAACATCAATTTCAAACAGGACATTCACAAGGAGATTCAAACCCCTTCCCTGTCCTGGACTGGGACTGATGAGGAGCCAATCCACTTCAAGACACAGGCTCATTGTGTCCAGAGAGGTGGGTACCATTGATTGATGGATGTTTGGAGCCTCTTCTTCGCCTCTATCTGTTTCACTAATCATAGCATTGGCTTACTTGTGAACAAAGCACTTCAGAGCAATTAATATTAACCAGGATAATAGTTTTGTCATGGGACACGTGGCTCAGGCTCTCTATAGATAGACCCTGTGTTCCATTATCCATGTCATACTCTCGCATTGAGTAGGAAAATCATGGAGACAGAGAAGAAGGCCATTCAGCCCATTTCTTTGTGCACTGCCTCTAGCATAACCCCACTTTTCGACAGCCATATGTAAACATTTGGGCTGTAGCATTTTATGTGAAAATCTAATTTTTTATTAAATGTAGTAAGGGTTTCTGCCTCAACCACCCTTTCAGGCAGTGAGTTCCAATCCCCTGCACCCTTTGATGAATAGTTTACTTCTCAAAGCCCCTCAAATCCTTCTATCAATTAATATAAAATCCATGTGCCCTCTTTGATGGAGGAACTAAGGTCTTTCAATCCACGTTATCTCATCTGAATTAAATCTTCTCTCAGTCTTCTCTGTTCCAAATAAAATGAGGCCAGCATATCCAATCTTTCCTCATTGCTAGAATTCTCCGCTGCTGTCAACATCCTTATAAATCTCATCTATATCCTGTCTAGTGAGATCCTTCCAGTAATGAAGTGAAAAAGACAGTAGACAGGGCCCTAATGGTAGTATAACCAGTGTCTTATTCAGTTCTAAAACTCTGAACCTTGGATGATCAAGAATCCCCTAAGCCTTAATAACGTTATATCCAAATGTGGGGAGCCTCCGCTCAATGAGGCAAGAGATTGACAAGGAAATTCAACAATGGCCCCACTGTACCAGTTCAGCTGCCTGAGGAAGAGAATGGTTAAGGACAAAGATTTCAAACCTGGTAATATGGAATACAGGGTAGTGGCGTTACCTGAATGCAGTGGAGATATGCACAATATTCAGCAGACAAATCACATCCCAACATCACTCCAATGTCAGTTTCCTCTCTCAGACCAATGTCCCCAGCATCGAGGTACACGTTACTCTCAATCAGCTGTGTTGGGTGGGCCACCATTGTCTACATGCCTGACACAAGATTCCCAAAACAAGCTGTCGACTCCAAAATCCATCAGGAGGGCAGAGAAGATGCTTCAGGGACAAAGCTTCCTTGAAAAAATGTAACATCTCCACTGATTCCTGGGAATCTCTTGTCCAAACTGGACAAGAAGCATCTGTGAAGGAGCCAACCATCATGACTGGCCCAGG